GTAGAAGTAGAATCTCTTCGATCAGAAATTGCTTCTTTGGAAGAAAGAGAAGCTCATTTAAAAGCTCAGTATGTTTTGATGCTTTAATTGTGCTCTCTCATTATGTCTTATGCTCCTCTATTTTAGTTTTTTTTAAACACATTTGTGTTTGGTGTTGTTGCCTCTTTGATATGACTGTACTTCGATTTAGCATGGAAAAAGGTTCCATGAAATTTTGCAGCTTAATGCGGTCATATAATTCTCGTTACGATGCTTTTGTAATGTAGGGATGTCTTAAACATGGAGTAAATTACTGTAACACCTCTTGCTTAATGAAACTGAAGATCTTTTTTCATCTCTTTGGAGGTAGATTATCAGCGTAATATGAAGTATGAACACATCCATAGATGCATATCTATCTACACTAATTACAATGTGAATTCATAGGTTACAGCAAAAGCATAAAAGCTTCGCCCAAGTTCTTTTTTTCTTTAGGTGACTTGGCCTTTAAACATGGAGTCTTTAAAATCACATTTATATAATGTGCAGAATGTGCTAAGGTGGACTATGACATGCACGCATAATAAAACTGCCTTATATGCCCAAACTCTCTACTTATGAACTTGCTTCAGTCTTTGGTTATGTAAATCCTTTGGTAAGAGGACACATCCTGAGTGCCTCTTCACATGTGGGTACATAGAACCATCGGGGACCGTTGATTGGATAAATAAGAGACGAAAACAGAAAGCAGGAAGTTCTTGTCATCTGCCAACTTGGGAACTAAGGGTCAAAAATCCCAGCAGAGGCTACATTAGATGAATTCTTCCCACCTACCTAAGCCTTGATGGCAGAGCTACCTAGTGCCTGGCTGGTTGGAGGCAGCTGATACTTGATGGACTAGTCGAGGTGCACGCAAGTTGGCCTGGACACTGCCATTATAAAAAGAATTAAATAAAAGGAAAATTTTGGAGTAAGGAAATGTGAACACCCTTCAAGATATTGCCGTGAGAGTTCTCTTCAATGAATTAAGACACTTCCGGTCCATGCTTTTAAAACAAGAAATAACACATTGGGAAAGTGAATAATATCGTATTTCTAGGTAGTAGAAAGTTGAGATGTAACTGTAACATGGTATGACTGGCTTTCTACTTGATGAGAAAAGACCTAACAACAACTTACCCAGTGTATCCCATATGAGTTATCAATATGATGGCATCCTTTGGAACAACCTCCCGTTTCTTTTATTGAGAAATCATGGATTTGTCTAAAGCAGTACTCTTATTTGAGTTCTGATATATCTATATATATCTTTCTCTTCACAGATTAGAACATATTGACGAAATACTGCAGTCTGCTCGCTTGTCGGGTTATTTGTATCTGAGAACGGTACTGAAATACCAACATCTGTCCTTTTCTTGTTATCTCTAGGATTTATCAGACTTAAATTATGAAAATCTTATTCTTGCTTTTGATCGACAGAGATGGGAGGCTTTACCAGGAGAACCTCTTCCAATCGATGATGACACTGAAGTTGATGACTGGCTTCCTAAATTTCTTGTCCTTCAGGGATCGGGTATTTTCTTGTATTCATCATCCATAGGTAATTATACTGAAACTTTCAATTTCAAGTGTCGCGTATTTTTTTTTGGTATTGCCCTATTTTGGTGTAAGTGCATTATTCCAAACTTTTAATGGTGTACCATTACTCTCTGTGTTTTGCCTCTTCCTTTTACTGGCCAATTCTGAGTTCCTCATAGGAGGCCGAATCTTCCAATTATTTATCAGGAAAGTCTAGAAATCTTAAATGATGTCTTGTAAGCTTATGCTGATTAATGGTATTCATTGTAGTATGATGGACGTCAAATTTGCTCATATAGTGTCTCTTAAATTTTGATGGACTTCTATGTGATTTTAGTTATTAGAGATGGAAATTCAAACCCTCAACCTCCCAAAGGGACACTGCCCCTCAACCTCACACACCCCTCGTAATCAGGTGGGTGAAGTTTTTGTCAACATCAAAGTTTCAAAATCAATTAAGAATATATATGAGCAAAATGGGAGAACAAACAGGAAGAGGGTGAATGGAAACAGACACAAGAATGTCGAAGATAGAGGTGGAAGATGTGAAGACACAAGGAGGGAGGCTGCAAAATGAGTTGAAATGTTGCAGCTATCCAAAATTATGGAGTGAAATAGTTATTCGTTTTAGGTAGAGAATGGTGTGTTGGTATGCCTAAATAACTTATATGATACCCTCCCCCTGCCCCACAGTCTATATGGTTTGATGAAATTCCAATAACTCATCCTCCAACTCCCCTGTTCATGTATGTAGGTCAGTAGGTGGAATAGGAAAAGCACCTATGGTAAGGGTAGAAATTGTCATCTCTATTTGGTATAGCTCACTGCTGAGTTATACCGGGATTGGCTGACCGTTTAGTTGCATATACATAATTAATCACGAGCTCCATGCATCTGATGTAGAGATTGTCATCTCTGTTTGGTATATCTCTATTAGGTTATGCCGGGATTCTAATTGCGTATCTTTTAATTCCTCATGAGCCAATGCATCTCTATCTTCTCTTGATTTAATAGACACCCATAATATCTTTTATTTACTTGGACAATCTGATATCAACTAACACAATGAAGAATTTTCTGATATCTGTTAACACAACAAAGAGGCTATGTCATGAATACATTTGAGTATAACTACTAAACATGATGCAGATCTGAGTCCTCAAGACTCAACTCTCCTATCTGATGTTGTTGAAGTTGGAGCCATGCCTTGTCTGACACGAGACAACGGTGATATTCGATATTGCTTTTTTATTTCAACTCGTCATGGGCTGAGATATGAATGCTCTAGTGCTTCCAAAATACAGGTAATGGTTGTACCTGGATCATCTACTGCTAGTACCTAGTCATGGTATCTTCTTCCATGTGTTGATGTTTGAAGTTCATAAATGGACCTTCGAGTAAACGCGAATTCATATGCACCTCTCTGTGTATATGATCTTTTTCCATTATTTCTATGCATGATTTGATGGAGTACACACTGGCTGTTAGTAGTACTAAAAGTGTTGCCTTGTTCTCTGGACATTAAATGCTTTATCTGAATCCTGTCTTTTCGAATTAGTATCTCATGAACGATCCTAGAAGTTCATCATCATAAGCAGATGTTACGAGTACGTCTAACAGTAACACACCTGTGTTTATCAGGAAAGTAGTAACATAGATGTCAAAGTAGCATGTTATAAGCCTGTTTGTTTATTCGTGTTAGTGCTTTGCTCTCGAGAATGTTGTCTTCCCATAACTAAAATCTTATCTATAGATTCATTACATTCCTTTCATTATCCAGTTGCAAGCTATATAGTGTTTCTTTGTTTTGCAGGTTGATTCCTGGTTGGCGTCATTACAGAATCATTCTGATCTGCAATCTAACTGCACCGCGCCTGATGAGTTAATCAATACTTGACATCTTTTTCTGTCAGTATTCGGTAGCAACAACCTGTAAATAGACCAGAAATTGAAGCAAAGACGGCATTATTATTCACTTGGAAGTTTGATTGAACAACTGTTAGCATTTATCCATTATTCTGTACATAGAACTGTCATTGTCAAGTTACTACTACTATATAAATAAAATTTGTTCACAGTTTAAGTATTTCCACTACATGACATCTTTGGCAACAAATCATTATGTAGTTCAGATTGCAAGTGGAGTGTCAAAGTGAATCAGCTAGATAGTACCTCCAGCACCATCAAGAAGTGTGGCGGGATGACAAAGATTCCTTCGCCTTTAATTTGGTTAGAGCTTTGATAATGGAGAATCTCTTTTGACAATAGCATGTGTGATCCCCCTTAATGAGCCTATCCGACCTGAATTTGAATTAATTGTGTCAGTATAGTTTGAATACTAGATGTCTAAGCGCAACCCGATAAATAGCTTATGAAAATCTACCAGTGTTTCAATGGGATGACTGAGATTCCTCCGCCTTTAATTTATGACCTTTGATAATGGAGAATCTCTTGGCAAGTGAATGTTTTATCCCCTTAATGATTCTATTCAATCTGAATTTGAATTAATCGTGTCAGTGTATTTTAGATACTTAGATGGCTAAAAGTAACCACACACAAAAAAAAAGAGAATAAAAGAATATAGAATAGTACCTCCAGTCATGTAAAATAAATGTTTTTTTTTGGTTGATATTGTTTATGATAAGTTCCTCATTAGCTAGTAGGGTGTGTGTTCATAAAGCTAGAACACAATAATTTCTTTAGTTTTTATACTATAATGGGGTAGCTTGTGATTAGTATTAAACATGGATGATAAAAACAAGAAGTAGGCAAAGTGACAAGATAATTTTTTTTAAGAGACAAAATATAATGATGTTAAAGAAATCACCAAATATGTCATTATAGCTTTTAAATCAACAATCATTCAAAAATGATTGCTCCTTTCAGAACCATTAGACCCCTTCAAGTAATGACAATCTAATTATACTATAAAAAAGGTGTTAAGATTAATGTTACCACTCATTGATATAATCATTTGTTAAAGAGTGTAACTCAATATGAAATCAATTTCGATTTTTTTAACTAAAATTCGGGATTTGCATTCAGTGAATACTAGCATTTTCTAGCCCAATGAGAAGGAAGTTACAATGTGTGAAATCGAATCTTTACTAATAAAGTAGAAGTTGAAATAGTCAATCAGCTGAGTTTTTAAGATTCTTCGTAAATAAACATGATTTACGTAACAATTGGGAAAGTTAACGAATCAGATTCAGTTTAACCCGTTTTGTGTTATGGATCGACTATTCAGCCCAATAAAACTTGGGCTTTAGGGTTTGGCCCAGCCCGAATCCTTAAACCTTCCTCTCTCACGCGTCCTAAATGTGGGTGTGATCACGCGCGACTTCATTGGGAACCTCACATATATAATCTATGTTAGTTTCACTCAATTTCTCACTCTATCACTTCACACATTTTTTGATTTTCTCTCTCTAAAAAGCTTAGAGATGAATTCTCAGATTTGCAGATCTGCTTCACGAGCAGCTAAGTCACTCCTTTCTGCTTCATCTAAACAGACTTCTCGTGCTTTTTCAGGTATAATTTTCATTTTTATCACAAACTGGCTTAGACACCACAGTTATACTATAAACAAATCATATTATTTCTTCCTGATGTGAATTATATAAGTTGAGATTTGTAATTGCTATAGTTTTTAATTGATGAATATTTGAGCTCAGGTTATCAAAACAAATTAATGAATGTTTGAGCTTTTTTAGCATATGATCTTTGTAACGAACACTTATGTATAGTAATCTCTTTATAACAACGTCATTTGTTCACGAGCAGAGTTCTCGTGCTTTTTCCGGTAAATTTTTCATTACTGATGTGGATTATAAGCTGAAATTTGTTATTGTTTCGTTTTTAATTGATGAAGTTTTAGCTGGTTAATTATTAAAAAAATGTTGTGAAGTTTTGAGCTTTAAGCTTGAGACTCCATTTTGAAAAGAATAATGATTTGTTTATGAAGTTTTGAGCTGGTTATAATTAATAAAAAAGGTGAAGTTTTGAGCTTTAAGCTTGATATTCCATTATTTTTTTTAGAAATTCCTTAAAGCATATGATTTTTGGTGGAAAACTTAAATATTTTCAGAAATTACCTACAAAAGTACCATAAATCTGATTTTTTTGGGTAAATGTTCCATAATATTTTAGAAATGTTATAAATCTGGTAATGGAAGAATAAAGTATTTGACTTTAGAATAATAATGTGCGGTTAGTTTTGCCGTGGAGGAAGTGGTTGTTTTGAAGTCTGCCTAGTAATTTATTTATGTTTGACTCATAGTAATGTTTTGATTTTCATTTTTTTGGTCCCGGTGTTTGACTTTTTGGTATGTGGATTTGAATTTTTGCTTCTGTTACTGCTGCTTTGGAATTAAGGAGTCTATGAATTAGTACATGTGTTCCAAATGAATTGTGGTTACTACACATGTTGACCTTTATCTTTGTGGTTTAAGAAAGATTACCTTTTGACCTCAATGTACTGCGGTTCCAGCATTTGAACCTCAAACTTGGACTAGATTTATGTATATAAAAATTAAATTGAATAGTTAAAGTATGTACATATTATATGTGGTGTACCTCCAAATCATGGATTTTCTTCACACGATATGTATGACTAATGTGAGGTACACTTGTTCTAGCTTTGCTCATTGAAGATAATCCGTTTTCTTATATGCTTGGTTTCTTGTTGGGAATGCCTTATGTGTCTTATATGTTTAAAGATCATCTATGTTTGGTTATATTGAAAATGCTGATTTCTGAGTTCTCTTTGTTGCAGGAGGACGAGCAGCAGCTGCAGCTGCCACAGTTTCTTTGAGAGGAGTGGTGCCTTCTCTAGCCTCATATGGCAGGAGTGAATCTGGAAATGCATCTAGAGCTTGGATTTCTGGTGTCCTTGCCCTTCCTGCAGCAGGTTTGTTCAAGTTTATTTCTCATGGACTTGTTGCATGCTCCTCTCTGAAAGCCTCTTGTGGTGAAATTTGATTCTTTGAGGAAGCTTCTGCTTTGTACTTTTTCTAGGATATAGTTACTGGCATTTAGGTGTCTACATTTAAGCCTTTTACTGGGACGCTCAAAACAAGAGTTGCATTAAAACCGCATGTCCTCCTATATGAGGCGCCAGAAATACTCGCTACTACTGCCAGCTTATATTTTTCTTTTGGATGAAAGCATGACTCGATGAACGTATGAAAGGTTAACTACCTCCACCTCTACTTAAAGAAATAGTTTTCTGTGGCTCGTATAGTTCAGTTGGTTACTGAACTTTCACCTTGTTGGTGAGGATTTGATTCTCCACCTTGAAATCCCGTCCCCCATTTCCCCTTCTCCTACCCATCAGTGGAAGAGGAGCCTTGTCTCTTGCTTAGCATTAGCATTATGGCATCCGGAACTTCTTCTATAACAAATAGTCTATGCTCTTGCATGGTATGGGGTGAAAAAGTTTGCTGTACTTGTGCTCATAATTGAGCATTTCGTTCCATTTCTCTCGGACAAAAGTTATAACTTGTCCTGCCTTTGTTTCCTTGTTCGAGGAAATAGTTATTTGTATTCTAATTTCATCTTTTCCCTCTCTTTATTGCTTAGCTTACATGCTCCAGGAGCAAGAAGCACATGCTGCTGAGGTATCGTATTCTCAGCCTTCCTCTAGATTGAGATGTTATATTATCCATTTTATTATCATTTTCATTCTTTTTAATAACATATATGATATGTTTGTATTTTTCAAGATGGAGCGCACCTTTATCGCCATCAAGCCAGATGGAGTACAGAGGGGCCTGGTACGATAATGGTTTCTGTTGCTACTTCTTTTATTTATATGATCTTCCAATAATGTGCTCCCACCCACCAATCCCTTAGTTGAAGAGGCAGCTGAAGTTACTTTGCATTTAATATTTTATCTGGATGCTTGATGGGAAATGTATTTTCTTTTACGGTTGGCTGATAAATTTTTGTTTCATTTCAGATTTCAGAAATCGTATCACGCTTTGAGCGCAAGGGCTTCAAGCTGGTTGCAATCAAAGTTGTGATTCCTTCAAAGGAATTTGCAAAGAAGCACTATCATGACTTGAGTGAGAGACCATTCTTTAATGGTTTGTGCGATTTCCTTAGCTCTGGCCCTGTCTTAGCAATGGTAAGTAAGAGGATTTTACTAGTCAAGTGCCATTTTATCTCTTTGTCCAAACTACTTCAGTATGAGTAACTCCATACACTTTTCTTCAGGTTTGGGAAGGTGAAGGTGTAATCAGATATGGAAGGAAGCTTATTGGAGCCACTGATCCACAGAAATCTGAACCTGGAACCATCAGAGGCGATTTAGCTGTTGTAGTCGGAAGGTAATAATATACAAGATGTAACTACGCATCAATCTCAAACGAGTCATTCTGCTTGTATGATTGCGTAAATATGAGTTTTAACACAATCTGCTATACAGGAACATCATCCATGGCAGCGATGGCCCCGAGACCGCAAAGGATGAAATCAACCTATGGTTTAAACCAGAGGAGTTGGTTAAGTACACCAGCAACTCTGAGAAGTGGCTATATGGTGATAACTAAGTGAATGTACTCTTTGCATTAATCTAATTAATTTGCCATTAGATAGGCATGAGGGGTAGCAACTCATAAATCAAAATAATACCATTTTTTCCTAAGGCGAGTAGCAACTTTACATTTAGTATACTATTTAAAATCACCACAATAATATGTATTGAAACATTGAATTTCATTTTTCTTGTTCCAATGCAATGATCTATTGCCACTATTGGTGGGATGTGTAATGAAGTACTTCTTTCGGAGTTAAACTTTCATTTGTTCTTGCAAGTTTCCCTGCAAAAAGCTCTATACGCCTATTCTTAAAAAGAACACTATTCGTCTGAATTTTTTCCCTTAACTGATTCTGAAATTTCCGCATGCAAAGTCAAATAAGAGCTTGAGGGGAGGATTCTGGGTAAAAGCTTACCGTGTTGAATGTTTACGTCAAATAAATAGATGCATAACATAATAAAACTATGATAATATTGTTAAATTTAGTGCATGTGACAGCATAAAATATTCAATAGGGCATGTGTTGCATTGGGTATGGCTTTGAAAAAAAAACCACTTGCGACATTTGATAATATAAGAAGATTTATGATGTTTGATTCTTTGACGAGGTTGGGCTATAGCTCATCGTTTAGTATATATTTTGATCCAATTCATCTCAGCTAAATAATATTTGAGCGGTTCAATCACAATTCATTTTAACTTATCAAAATTTAGTATAATCCACATATTTGACATCCGAAAGTATAATGTATAATAATGCGGTGGGAAACGATAAGGAAAACATTTTTTTCTTTTTTAATTTAGATAACTGAAAAATATAGTGTCGTATATGTCTCTTTTAGCAAATTTTGTATATTACATGGTCGATATTCTCTCAATATATATATGGAAAGGAAGGATTTAAAAACACTGATGATTGAAGTATTACTATAACCAATTAACCATGAGTAACCATATGACATAATCATAATTTATTAACTCAACTAGGATATATATAATAGGAGTAATTAGTTACGATCAATTACATTTATCATCAGTTCGGTTGATTTCGACAGGTTGAAGTTAAAAATTTTACTATAAGTGAATACACAAATAAGTTAAGAAACCTTAGTATATTATAATTTTTCAACGAGCAAATGGGTGATAATTGGCTTCTTGAACAAGAGTAGCTCTGACTAATATCATTATTGTTTTGACTAATATCAATAGGCAAAAGGGGGTGTAGCTCATATGGTAGAGCGCTCGCTTTGCATGCGAGAGGCACGGGGTTCGATTCCCCGCACCTCCATTTTAAAATTTCATAATTTATTAGATTAAGATATGATTTCTGAATTTTGATATTGATTGAAATTTCATTTTTAAGAAATCACATATATATTTATCTTTTTTAACTACTATTATAACCACTCTCTCTGTCCCAATTTATGTGGCATTTTTCGTTTTTCGAGAATTAAACTGTTTAAATTTGACCGAGAATTTGTGCAAGGAATCTTAATTTTTTTTGAAATAAAATTTATATATTTGTAAGCTACGTAAAAAGTACTATAATGAGTCACAATAATTAATAATTCAAAATGATTAAAAGATCTATGAAAAATTTACGATAAAAAATAAACTTGTTTGAATCTTGAAATCTGAAAAGTGCACATAAAATGGGACGGACGGAGGGAGTATTAATCTGTCCTATAAAAAAAGTGTTATTTTTCTTAATTCTTTTTTCATGCCTGAAAGTATTAGTACAATGTATCATAGTATAGTAGTAGTGTAATATTTTGTCTCGACACTTTTCATTATTTGGGAGTAAAACGATTTAAGTTTAAACAGAAATTCACTCATGGAATCTTTACATTTTTTTAAATGAAATTTATATATTTATAAATTATATAAAAAGTATTATAAGTTATAATAATTGACAATTCAAAATATTTAATTATATTTTGCTTTTCCTTTTTTTTTTTTTTACCTCAATACCTATATTCTGTTGTGCAAATAGGTAGTTATGCAGTGAACAATTCTCACACAGTCACACTCTTTTTGTTCTTCTTCTTCAATTTTTTTCCTTCAAATGTCGAGTTGTCGGTCCACCGGAAAGATGCCGGAAGAACGGCTCAGCATTCCCGGACGACCAAGCTGTTCAAAACCTGAAGATGAACACTTAGCGGAAGACCTTTTCTTCAAGGCAAATGTATGATTATTGCTTTTGTGATAGTGTAATTTCTTCCAACTTTAACAATGTTGCGTATATATATTTCAGATTGGATTTACCTTGGTTGGAAAACAATGTCTTCTCGGGGTGGATCATCAAGGACATTGCTGTAGGTGTAATTTTTATTTTATTTTCAGTTTTACTTGGTTTCATTATTTATGGGTTTTTCTTCTCCGATCTACAGCTTGTTGCTGGGCTTTTGCATCTACAGAAGCGATTACTGCAGCTCATGCTTTTAAGAACAAAGAAACAATACCATTATCGAAGCAACAACTTATTGATTGCATATTCACTCACTATAAAAAACCTTCATGGTTTGCGGATTTGGGACCGAAACAGTGTTTTCCATCTTCCTGTACGAAGGCCTATGAGTTTGCTACTGATTTTGGAATCGTTGAAGAAACGCAATATCCATTTACTGAACAAAGAGGTGACTGCAAGGGACCATCACCTGGAGTGGTACGTATTGTTCAGTACTATTCCTTCCGTTCCATTTTGCGTGACGTTTTTCCGATTTCAATATTTAAACAAAAGTCTATTTTTTATCTTTTATCGCAAGTGACCTTTTAAGTATTTTGAATTTCAATTACTTATAGTATTTTTTTTAGAAAATTTTGATATAGAATTTATGTTCTGATTAATATATTTTATTTTATCATTTGTAGAAAATTTTCAAAATAAAAGGATTTGACAGATTAAAGGAGACCAATAAGAGGAAAATAGCAACACTACTTCGGGAGCAACCAATTACTTGTGCTGCACCTTTTGTTCCTAGTCTTAGGGATCATCGTGGGAAGGTATATTTTTTTTATATTTCATTGTTTTAACTAACTCATGATTGATGAGTCACTCACGTGTTAAAATAAATAAATATTTATATAGGAAATAATATACATGGGCCCTACCCAGAGCGAAACTGAAGAAATAGAGAAACATAAAGCAAAAGGGGGAAATGAAGCCATGCATGCAATGTTGATCGTAGGGTATGGAAAAGAAGATGGTGTTGAGTTTTATTTAGTGAAGAACAGCTGGGGCGAAGATTGGGGATATAAGGGGTTCGCAAAGATTAAATGTAGTGTGTTGTCCCGATTGTCATATCCTATTCTAATGGAGTAGTTATTTGATAATTATATGTTTAGGATCGATCCTACATATATCTATACCTACAACAAATTATGTAAGAGTAAAACAAATACGCATGCATATTACTTACTTGTAGTAACTAATTAATCCCCTTACAAGAGGGTTGTTATCTATCTATATATTTGCTTTATTCGACTTTCATCTAATTTCTCTAACTTGAGATCTAGTTGTTGTTAACTCAATCGTATGTATATATACATATTAGACACACGCAAATGGAAGTTTATCAAACCATAGTATATAGTGATGGTTCAATTATGGGCTTATCCGTATCAACTACTATTTTCTTTGTCACAATAATATATATTTCCAAACTAATTTGGACAGGAAAAGTACTAACCACATTTTTATTATTTATTATTTAATAATTCTATTTTATCTTTTACCCAATTTTTTCATTGTAGCACTTTCGTGTACCTACTTTTTTTTAGGTTTATCGCTCAATATGTGAAACTATGTAATAACGAATAAAAATATAGTCTTTCCAAATATTATATTCATTAAAACAATATATACATTATAAAAATAAATATTCCAAATAGAATGTTAATAATTCATAGAAGCCGTGAAAGTATGTACATGAGGCTTCTGGAGAAGTACATAATTATTTTTTGTGTTTATTGAACTTGTAGGTATTGCTCACTACTCACTTTTGTTTATTCACTATTTCAAAAAATCAAGTAAAAATAATTATTTTTTCCATATTTTATATTGAGTACTATTAATTATTTAATCTCGAATTATTTTTAAAGACCTAATACTTAACGTAATGTAATAAGGATAGGAAGGGCTACATATTCCGGCCCAATTTGATCCTCTTTCCAATTTTAGGATTTGTGAGAGATGAATTCTCCGACGGCAGTATTCATGAAAGAACTGGTGAAGAAGGAAGGAGATGATGAGAATTTTCAGGCTCAAAAGAAACTTAAGATCGGAGATGATGAAATCTCCGACGTAAAAGAGAAAGATAAATTCGATGAGGATATGAATGGCGATCCTGAAATCACGGATTTCCCTGAGTCCGATGAGGATCTTTCCCCGATAGTAAGGGTTTGTTGTACCTATGATTCAGAGGAGGATTATTGCCCAGATTACCCAAACGGGAAGATGGATAAGCCTCTTTGGGACAAGTACTACAAGCAGATCAAGGAGAGCGAGGTAAAACCATTTTATTTTATTTTAAATTGCTCTATGACTAATTTCTGTATGATGTTTGGAGTTAAAATTAGCATTCTTACAGAAAACAGTGTAATGACCTTAGCAATGGAGTGTGTCTTTTGCATAATCTATGCTTAACAATTCTAAATGGTTTCGTTCGTTGTGCTTTTAGCTAATTTGATCTTTATTTGCATAAATTTGCTTATAATTAATTGGTCTATCGGAAATAGCCTCTGTGTACACTTTAGCCTTCCTCAACCCCAGTCATAACAACATTGTATGTTCACCACCTTTGATGCCGTCTCTGCCAATAGGATGTTCTCAATGACCTTAATGAATCCCAATTGATTGTCAAAGATCAATCTAGGAAGAATGGGGTATGATCTTTGAGAAGTGAGCTGAGAAAAATTATTAACTTTAGGAATAAGAACCAGACATGTATGAGTGAAAAAACTAGGCAGATTGGAACCTGCGAAGAAGGACTTCACATACTCAACCATATAAGTTTTGGACTATTGATGATATCCCATGTTTTCTGAAAGAAATGACCTGTGCAACCATCCGGCCCAGCTGAGCTGTTAGGATTCGTAGCAAATATGGCATCTCTTATTGTGTTCTCTGTTGGAATAGTTTCTAACGCTTCATTATCCAAGTCAGTTACTTTGCTCTCCAAATGCCTCATATTGCTTTCACCAACAAAATCTGATTGAGAGAACATGTCACTGAAGTAGTTGATTGCAGATTGGGCAATTTGATCAGTGTTATTAATCCATGTGCCTGAGGAGTCTTTGATTCTGAGGATCTGAGACTGTCGTCTTTTTCTTTTGATGACACTATAACAATATTTAGAATTGGTATCCCCTTCTTCATCCCATTTAATTCTGGCTTTTTATTTCAAAATACTCTCATGAACTTTCAACCACTTTATGTACTTGGCTTGGGCTTTATGAAGCATGATTCTGTTATCATCAGAGTAACAGTTTCATATTGAGTTCTTGACAACATTTTAAGCTTATTCTGAAGGATCCACATGGGGTTTCCTTGAATCTCATTACTCCAAGCTTCTTTAACAATATCAAGAAAGCTAACTTGTTCTGTCCAGAAATTCAAGAATCTAGAATATTTGATACAGTTAAAGAGTTTTTCCTTGTCACTCTGAAGTAGAAGAATATTCTGATATGATCCAGTTTAAGGTAAGTGATATACTCTAGTAATAGGAAATCTGGTAGCCCACTCTTCATTAAGAACAACTCTATCGAGTCTTTTGCAAATTCCTCTTCCTCTTCTTCTACCAATACACCAAGTATAAAAGGATTGTCAGAGAAGTTGATGTATATAAGGTGACAATCATTTAAGCAATTAATAAAATCAATACTTTTGGCAAGGGTATGAGGTAACCCTCCTTTCTTTTCATCAGCCGATAAGATACTATTAAAGTCTCCAAGAACTGCCCACTGGCCATTAACAACTATGACCTGAACGCAGACTTCTTCTCCTGCTTTTAGCAAAAACAGTTGTGACCCAAATGTACTTTGTATCACCCAGAGTGTTAATCTTGAATGTCTATGATGGTCTATAAGATCCCAATTTAAGGAAACATTCCCAAAACACCAAATCTTTCTATTGATATTGGACAGTGCATGATCAAAGCTAGTCATGACTAGCTTTAAATTCATCATTTTGTGAAGGATGGAGAAAACACTCTTGTAAAGCTATGAAATTGATTTCGTGGAGCTTGATTAAACTCTAGAGTCTTTCAAAAGATCCTTTAGATTTCGTACCCCTAATGTTCCAAATGATTGCTCTAATCATTAAAACTAATAGGGGGAGGGGATTTTGTGTCTCTAGGCTTACCTTGTAAACAACCTGTCTATATTTGTTTGATAATTCTTGTTCTCCCTTTTTTTCACTTTTGTTCCTCTAGGGGGAGAGATCATGCTTTTTTGTTGCATATTGAATATCCTTGTTGATAGTATCTACATGTTCACTAAGAATAGAGACTGCTCCTTGTTAATCTTACACATAGTTATTCATATCCATCTCATTGAAGTTATCTTGTATTTGATTCATCTTGAGAGGGGCTAAGTCCACAACTAGTTTCCCATTCATGTCTTTGACATAAACTCCAGGTAGGGTGATTCGTATTCCTTGACTGAGTTGTTTGTCCCTGTATATTAGTGTCTTATTGGCTTCATTGTACTTTGGTAGGGATTTGATATCCAAGATTTTCCTGGACGGTGTTGGATGACGACCGTCTTCCCCCTACCATACTATTTGGATGATCCCAAGAATTATAAAAAATTGAAGGACTATGCTTCAAAGGCACTTAAGCTATACAATGATGATAATGTATGCACTTTTCAGTCTTTCAAGTTTGTCCATTTTCTTCGTTTTCTTATACTAACAAAGAAAATAATCTCTCTGGTTTTTTAGGGCACGTGCTACGAGGTCGATAAAATGTTGAAGGTGAATGGAGGTGGTTGTAGTGATTTTATCTATTATCTTACCTTTACCGTCAAAAATGGTGTGGATGACATTTTTCAAGCAAAGGTGGTGGAAGAGATGGATTTTTCATTAGAATTTCCTATCGTTAGGCCAAAACCTAAAGCTTGAGACTAATTGACAGTTTGTCTAACATATTTCAAATGCTTTGTTTCTATTTAGTCTTTTTTATTAGTTAGATATCTTTTGTAGTATCAAAAATGACATGTTGTGTTGTTGCAGAATTGATACTATTAGGAATTTTGTCACAACACCTTGTAGTGGAAACAAATTAATACCACTCTGTTTAAAAACAAAAACAAGATGAATCGATTTGGATCTAAGTCAACCTCAAAATTTATTTTATGAAGTGAGGATAACATAAGACCTTTCTATCCCTAAATAATTATCCGCGCTAAAGGGTAAGTCAATATCCAAAGCAAATATCAGGTAAATCAGTAGTTAGGATGGACCTAAATCTAACTATCATTATGAGAAATAAGTATTTGAGTCTAATTCAATTTTAAAAGTTAACTCATAAAACGAGACATGTCTAAAATTGGTTTAAGTTAATCCAAATTGCAAAAATTAACTCAACTTGCATTCATATCCTATTATTGAAATTTACAATGGAGAAGTTTGTGGTAACAAAATACTTATCCTTTATTGCATCATACGTGATGTGAGTTCAAATTAATCGGACTAAATTTTAATATTTTTTTAAAAAGAGTAGGGACAACGCATATTGTTGCGCCATTTATTTTACATGTATGACCAAGTCCTTTTCTAATTCCTTCAAACTAAAAGAAAGTTGCCTTTTCTTGAATTGAATTTGTTCACTTTATTCTTTTCCAAGAGGTGTTTGTGGGGG